AGAACGAGGGAGGCAGAAAAAAAAGTGCGATCGTCATCGCAAATCAGCCAAGCCTAAAAGTAAATAGAGATGAACTAGGACAAGAAAGTGTAAAGCCAACACCACCACAAACACGGATAGGGATACTACATTGTAGAGTACCAGAAGGCCAAGAGATGAGCCGCGGCTCTGTATTCCTAGTGTAGGTACTAGCACTAAGGTAGCATGCTGGGAGATTCGTTCCTGCACTGGAAAACCGTACCCTCAAGGTTGTTATCGAAGAAATCAGAGCATAGCAGGTGCGGTAGCTAACGGTTCGGTCTCAGGGGCCGAGTGCCAGAACTGACGAAAATAACAAAAGGCCCACAACCGGACGGCATCCGGAAGAAGACGGCCGATGATTGGATGCATCATGCCATTTACGACCAAAGCTCGTGGGTGCGTGGTCCAAAGGAAAGACGCTGTGATTACGTAGGTGGCACACAACGAGCCGAGGCCACGGACTTCGGGACTTGAGCGACGACAAAACGGCGACGGAACCACTTAAACCCTCTGTACGTACCTGGTATCAGCCACGATGGACCCCCACTCTGCCCCCCTTGCGCTGCAAAATTCTGCAGCTTTCCTCTTCTCCATTTCGTCTCCCCCTCTGTCAATGTGGCCTCCCTTTCGACTCCCGACCTTCGAGAAACACCATTTTCGAGCTTATCAAATCATCCAATGCACCAAATTTCAAAGCCAAGCACCCACCCCTGGTCCTTTCGCCTCGGCACCTGGACGCCTCTAGCGCAGATCACCCTTGTTTAGCCCTATCGCGGCGCATCAAACGTGCTCCAAATCTCCGATTTTTCTCTTGTGTCCATCCTCCTTCCGCGATGGTTCAGATTTCCGCTGTCATCATGCCAGAACCGCGGCTCTTCTCCGTCCGCACCCACATCTGTTTTTGACTCTGCACTTGCAGTCTGGAACCTACGAGTCTGTTGCTTGTTTTCGCCGTATTCCACTCTTCCACGCCGGCCACGGAGCCGACACTCGAATGGATTCGTCTCACCCTCACGGCCCGCTGTTTCTTCGGACTTGAGCGCCGCCCATGAAGTCATGGCCCTTGGGTCAAGGGGACCTTGAGATGAACCTCGGCAGGCCACTTTTTTCCCCCTTCGCTCGTCACTCATCGGCCAGCTGTTCAGTCTGTGTGTCTGTTGTGTGTTCCCACCAAAAGAATTGACATTGCCTGGGATCGGATTGGATAAGCTGCGCCATATTGTGATGTTCCATGGGTACGTACTGTTTTGATTGCGATCTCTTTTTTTCTCTTATATATCGTCAACGGCTTGCATCCCCCTCCATCTAGCATAGCAGTTTTTTGGATTGGAAATCTTGTCTTATCTACTTTACTACTACTACTACTTCATACATCCTGAATACAATTATTTGGACACCTCCAGATTCGTGCGCTCCTCCGACTCCATCCACACATCACGTCCTACACCATGTCATCACAACGCTTCCACCTGTTGGGTGAAGACCCTTCAGTCACAACAGAGTTCGAGATTCCTGCCTCAACAGACGAGGAGGGTCTCCAGCATCTCGCTGCCTCTCATTTTGCCGTTGTCGACCACAAGGGTAAGCTCAACATCCTGCCATACCACAGCTCCTTGACAGTAAACTAACACAACTACAAGGCGTTGGCTTCGTCTCCGGAGATGAGGCTCTGACAACAGTCGCCGATGTCCTTGCTGCCGAGGGCCCCGTCGCCATCACCATTGACGGCCACCCCGTCCGCGAAGTCCCCGGCCCTTCTGGTCTGCCCTTCATCGGCAACTACTTCGAGGTCTACCCTGACCATCTCGGTAACCATCAGCGCCTTTTTGAGAAGTACGGCCCCATCTTCAAGACCACCAACATGGGTTCCGTTATCTACCACACCAATGACCCGGCCATCGCCAACATCTTCTTCTCCGAGAGCGACTTCTTCACAAAGAACATTATCCCCGGTCACCCGCTGTACCCTATCAAGAACAAGGAGTCCGGAGTCTTCCTTGGCGACACGGATACCCCCGAGTGGAAGGAGGTTCACAAGTTCCTCCCGCCCGCCTTCGGCCCCAAGGCCGTCCGTCACTACGCCCCGACCATGCAGGCTACCATTGAGGACTCCTTCAAGGTTTTTGACGAGCTCGACGAGAAGGAGGAGGCCTGGAACGTGTACCCCTACATGCTCAAGTTGGGCTCCCAGGCCGTCGGTAAGCTCGTCCTCGGCATGGACTTTAAGCACTTCACCGCCGTCGACGCCCCGCCCCACGAGATGGTCATCCGCATTGCTCAGTCCCTCGAGCTCAACAAGAAGATCACCTCCATGGGTAGCTGGTACGCCTCCCTGCCCTTCGGCGACCCCCAGCGCCTCCGCGACGCCCGCGGCCGCATCGTCGAGATGATGAACGAGTCCATCAACAACGCCTCCAAGGGCGTCGAGAACCTCGAGCTGCAGGAGGCCGCTCTCCAGGCCGACAACATGGTCGACTACGTCCTCCGCGCCAGCGACAGCAAGGGCAACAAGCTTCCCAAGGAGCGCATCATGGAGCCCCTCGTCGTCGCCACCGGCGCCGGCTTCACTACCACCTCCTCCCTCCTCTCCTGGCTCCTCTACGGCATCGTTGCCTACCCTGGCATGCAGGAGCGCCTCCTCCAGGAGCTCATCGACAACGGTTTTGACGAAAACACCCAAATCACCGCCGACCTCACCCAGAAGCTGACCTTCCTCGACAAGTACATCAAGGAGACTCAGCGTCGCCACAACCCCTCCTACCAGCCCGCCCGCACCTCAAAGGTGGACATGATCCTCCCCGGCGGCTACAAGCTGCCCAAGGATTCCATCTGCATCCCCGCCATCCACCACATCCACAACAACCATCTTGTCTGGGACAACCCGGCCCGCTTCGACCCGGACCGCTGGGACTCAGACAAGGTCAAGAACCGGCCTAATGCCTCGTACATCCCCTTCGCCACCGGCCCCCGTATGTGCATTGGCTTCAACTTTGCCCTGCAGGAGGTTAAGGTCTTCCTCCCCAAGCTCATCTACCGCTACAAGTTCAGCTTGGCGCAGGAGGGCCCCGTGGAGTACGATCCCATGTTCCAGCTCATCCGCCCGAACAACCTGTACGTCCGCGCCGAGAGGCGTGTCAAGTGGCCTCCTAGGTCTGAGGCTTAGAATGGTTCACGAGTTGTGTTAAAAGTGTTGGGAATCGGTTTCGGTATATAGAGTTCGTTTTTTGTACCATCATTGTCAGTGTATACCCTGGAGCATTGCATGGCGCAAGATATTTGGGGATTTTCGGGTAGATCTCATGATATAGACATAGAGCTGGATATGAATCTAGACTAATCACATGTTCTTTTTTGAATCACTCTCCTAAATTCATTGGTGCTGCCTGATCCTAGCTGCCCTTAGCTCTATTCCCCCCAGGCATTTTCGTGCCGAATTCAGTCTTTTACTCAAACTGTTGCGCCCCAAACTGCCCATTCAAATCAACCTGCAGCAACCTCTTCTCCTCAATCTCCCCCTTCCGCTCCACCAACTCCTCGACGTCCCAATTTGTAGCGACAAACCTCCCATTCAGGAACCGCGCGTTCTCCGAACAAAGCCAGACGGCCGTTCCGCCGACGAGCGCGGGGGTGTCGTGCGCAAAGGGACGGAACCGGTCCATGGTCATGTCGGTGTGGACCATACCCGGGTGTACCGAGACGGTGGTGACGTTGTCCGGGTGCTCGGCGGCGACGTGGGCGTTGAGCTGCTGCGTCGCGAGCTTGGCGATGATGTAGGAGCTCATGGTGGGCACGACCCAGTGGGTTATCGTGGTGATGTTGATGATGTGGGCGTGGCTGGTTGAGGGGAGGGATTTGAGGAAGTGGAAGGTTGGGTAGAAGGTTCCGCTGATGTTGGTGGTCTAGTGTTATTTCGAAGTTGTTAGCGGGGAAGTTATGTTCGTATTATCGAGGACGGGGAGGGAACTTGTGGAGTTTCTACTTACCAGGTCTTCCATCCAGAGTTTCGGGTCGCTGTTTGTGATGAGCTCGAGAGATTTCTGCACGGCGGCGTTGTTGACCAGGACGTCTGCGTGGCCATACGTCGCGTTTATTTTCTCGAAGAGGGCCTTGACGCCGGCTTCATCTGTCATATCGACGGGGTAGACGAGTGTTTCGACATTGGCATTAAGCTCCTTGACCTCTGCCGCGACGGCGGTAAGCTTCTTCTCGTCCCGGGCCACGAGAACGATAGCCTTTGCTCCGGCTCTAGCAAACGCTGGCACAATTCCCTGGAAGATAGTGAGTCGAAGCTTCATTGAAAAAGGAAGAGACAACTTACTCTACCACCGATACCACGGCTCGCGCCGGTGATTACAACAACCTTGCCGGCGAGGGAGAGCTCGGAGTTCTCTGGTTTGATGGCTGGGTATTCATCTCTGTAGACCTTCTTTGTGAATTGAAGGGCTTTGACGTAGAAGTCTGGTGGCATAGAGTCGGACGCCATTTTGACGCGTTTGGACTTGTAGATGAAGTTGTTGATGAATGAGCCGGTTAAGTATAGATCTATCACTAGAGGAAAATGTAGTCCTCCGGTGGCAGACACAGAGCTTTTATCGGCAGAAAACAATCTTGCCCTGGCTAACTGCATGTACGTTGAACCCAAGCTATCCCATCGGTTCATCAAAGCTCATGCGGGGATCATCTTAGCCGATTCTCACGGTCGCCCACATGTAAGCACTTGGCAGGTTGAAAGCCCGCGCGACGTGAGATTTGGGTTAAGTCCATCGCATTTCCGCCAATAGCTAGTGCTAACGTAGTCTCTACTTTATCCAGGGCATTGGCGTCCGCTTACGACATGCATACCTCTCTGACCGTGACGACCGAAAGATGCATAGCGCTGACCACAAGAAGGAAGCCAGACAAAGGGTCTCATACTTCAAATCTCACTCGGATAACCCCTGCCAACCCATGGCAACCCCATCACCACAGGACAAAAAGCGCTAAGCATCATCCTCAACTCCAACCATCTTGCACGACTCCCTCCACAACCGCGCAGCTTTCTCCTCATCGTAAGCCCACGAGGCATACCCAGGATCCGTCGTCGCCGGCGTGAATCCATCGACACCAGGTCCGCCCTCGGCGCAGTCGTTGAGGTATTTCCCGCCCTTGCCTTCCCACTCTTTACTCACGGCGGCGTAGACGGTGGTAGCGGCCCCTTGCTCCGGGTTCTTGAGCGTGCTCATGAGCTTGTTGAACGTCTCCTCTCCCATACTGGCCTTGATCGCGTCCACGTCGACGTTTTGCGACGCTGCCATGCTGGTCAGGATGGCGCCCGGGTGCAGCGAGGTGGAGTGTAAGTTCCGCGAGGCCCCGTAGCGCCGCTCAATCTCGTTAGAGAAGTAAATGTTGGCCGTCTTGGATTGGCCGTACGCCGTGTACGGCTCATACGATTCCTCCTCGTCAAAGTTGACATCCTCGAAGCGGATATCGCTGGCGCGGTGGGCCATGGACGACACAACGACGACGCGGGACGCAAAATCCGGCGTCGCGGATGCGAGAAGGGCGGGCTTCATTAGTTGGAAGAGGAGGAAGTGGCCCAGGTGGTTCGTGGCGAACTGCGATTCGAAGCCGTCTTTAGTTATAGTCTTTGTCTGTGCCATGATGCCTGCGTTGTTGACGAGGATGTTGAGCTTGCCGTTGCTCTTGGACAGGAAGTCCTCCGCGCCTTTGCGGACCGAGGAGAAGTCGTCGAGGGACATTTCCACGAAGTCTAGAGACCCGGACGTCTCGCCCTTGATGGAGGCAGTGATATCTGCGATTGCCTTTTCACCCTTTTCGCGGCTGCGGACGCCGAGGTAGATGGTGGCGCCGGTTTGGTAGAGCGCGCGCGCGGTTTCGAGGCCGATGCCTTGGTTTGCGCCGGTAATGAGGATGGTCTTACCGGTGAGTTTGCCGATGAGGCCTTCGTCTTGGATGATTTGGAGGGCTGTTGGGCGAGCGTCGCCTGGTCCCTTGGGGGTCTGGAAGGCTTCGGCGTACTTAGACATTGTGGAAGTTTTGTAGAAGGTTTCGTCTCTTAGTTATGAATGGGAGATCAAGGGTGAGGAACGAGGGGTTGGTCTACTTTCAGAGCTAGAAGACATTCACGAGGTTGAAGTCGGATATTTATGTAACCCGTCATGAATATCATTAGACCGGTGTTTCCAAAAGGTTCCCCTCCTCGTCCGCCGTCGTTATCGTAACTTTCGCATTCTCATACCGAACCCGACGAAGCTGGCGACTTACACGCGAAGTCTGTCGCATGTCGACTGTACACCCTGGGAAACTCAATTCAACTCCGCCAACCACAACATGCAGCTATGGGGACAGTGCTACAAATCCAAACGGCGCGTCGCCGGCGCCTGTGCTTTCTAGAGTTGGCGCTAGCACTCGCGGGCCTCGCGCCACAAGTTTTAACATCACAAGAAGCCGTCGATGTTCGAATGCGGAGATTGAACCGGCGGAGTTTCGGGAGCGGAGTGGGACTCGGGAGCTGGAGGAACCCGGGATTCGGTTTCCACACACGTCTCAAAGTGCTCGAACTCCCGCACTTATGTAACCGCAAAGTCACATGTAGATAAGTTGGCAAATGTAGCTTGAGTCTTTAGAAATCAATGAGGCAGTTTGGTCATTCGTACATGTATAAAGAGTAGATATTAACATTTTGTCACATAAAGATGCCCGACAGCGCGGCATTGGCGCTTTGCCTCCTGCAACCATGCATAAGTACTTCATTACTTCATGTTCAAATCAGTGGAAGCTCTACGAATCTTCTGTTGCACTTCCGCCCCCTTGGGAGTATCCCAGCCTTCTGAAATCCCGTGTATGATAGCCTCTTCACTGTCGGTTCTCGATACATTCTCCATACTCGTCTCGTCTCCCCTCCCGCCTGATGTGACGGTAGCATTATATTCGGTATGTCGGCTCGGCAGACTCTGTAGAGGATGCGAAGATCGCGTTCCATCTCCCTGTCCTTCCTTGCCATTGCTCCCCAGAGGATACTTTGTTTTGCATGAAGAGAAGCCCAACAGTGCGGGAAAGAACGTCTTGAAGAACGTCTTGAGTGCAGAGGAGCAACCGCAGAAGATGGCGACGTAGAGCTCCACGGCGTACCAGATAAGCGAGCTGGCGAATTGTCGGTATATCTCGGGTTCGTTTGCCAGTTGTCGGACATAGTAGAAGCGCACGCAGCCAGCTGTAAACACCGGTCAGTTGCTTGATCTTTTGCAGGATTCAATCCGTTGGATGACTGTAATATTGATGTTCAACTCACCTGCAACGCAAACCACTCCCAGCGCAAATACTGCCGATACCGCCCACTTTTGCCGCTATTATTCCATGTTAGCAAACGCGAGGAACTTTCGAGGTACGTCCAAAGTGAAGGTACCTGCGGTAGTTGCAAGCCCCAAATCATGGGAATCGGACAGATCCAAAGACAAATGTCTGTAACGATGACAATCACACCGGCGGCGTCCCAGAATGCCTGCTGCACCGCAGCCGGCATGCAGTATTTCGCATAGATTTCGTGACTCCCCTTAGATGTCCAGAATACCTCGGCAGGGTTACATTCGATGGCGGACATGACGAAGTGACATATTCCCAAGCCGATCACTGCCGCCATGAGTCCATACACCGTCCATCGCATCTTTGGTCGGTTATCGAGGCGCAGATAAAATAACAAAAGACCGACTTTGACGAGCACGTTGCCGACGGCGAAGAACAATCGGGAGATATAGAGCGACTTTGCACAGGGGAGCACGGTTAGTGAGTCCTCGTCGATGTTTGGAATCTTGCGGGGAGACTCAGAAAACAAACATACCAGCAACATTGGCTCCCACTCATTCGACGGTATTTCGGCTCCTGTCTCTGGTTAGCAAAAGAAACCTGGGCCTTGTATTGTCTAGCTCACTGATTCTCCCTAGGCCGTGTCTCACGGAATTCATGACACAAACAGACTGCAGGATTGTGGCGATCTATATCGCACCCGTCAAATAAAGTTCGATGCATTGGAAAGAGTAAGTATGATACTCACGGTTCCGGCAATCATCATAACTATAGAATCGTTTTGGTCAGCAAGAACGCCACGACTAAGAAGTTGTTCCAATGGGACGTACAGTCGTCAGCTCCAATTGACTTCGTAATGGAGAACCTCGTGTATAACCTGACGCCCATGACGAAGACTATGACGATGATCAATGACCCATTGACCCCGAACGCCCTCTGTTGGGCCGTGTTGAAGTCCGATATCGATGGGCTGTCATCCTCTTGGCGGCTAGACAAGACACGAAAGAGGTCTTCCATGGCTGATCGTGTCGAAATAGTCGACGAACTCGGGTCCGAGTCGAGGACAGACCATTTCGCTGGGTAAAAGGACCCGAGTGGCGGGGTGAGTCTGGGATAAAAGCATCCTCTGCTCCCATCCATTACACTCCCGTCGTCCTTGCCGGTGCAGACCGGTTCCCTGATTGGACTCAGTTGGTGGCTTGCGCTCGGACAACAGCCAGGGTAATGAATGGTGAGTGCTGCAATGTCTTCCAGGAACAGAACCTGATCGTTGTCACGTTATGCTATTCATTGCGAGTGTGTGTGGGAATTGACAAGGCCCAGAGTGAAAGGGGAGTCTGTTACGAGTCATATAGGCTGCTTATCGTGGGACGTGATCACAGTGCTAGATGTGGATCAGAATTATCTGCTTCGCGTGGAGCACGGCAGCTAGACAGCAAAACATTATTGAGTTACCTGTCTCCCTAAACCGTCCTGATCTTTCAAATTTTGCCGTAGCTTGCTGTTACAAGCTTTGAGCCAGATGGATTTCCTCTTGGCCAATGGCTTTCCTTTCTCTTTTTCTACTGAGTTTCGAACTAGTGAGCATACGGAGTTTTATGATATTTGGTCTCTCAGCGACAATTTTTACACCCCCATCTTCTTCAAACGCCAAGTCTGCCTTGTGGTTGGATATGTCAGATTAAAACCTGATCAGGCGGGGTTTGGATCCTCTCGATGCAACGCTGTACGGTAAAATCACTTTCGATGTCCGCGCGGAAGACTGCCGTCCATATCTGGTGTCACATTCCGTCCTCAGAGTTCCTGAATGCAGAAAATCTCCCGCTGTCATGACTCTGCCTGACATCCAATTCAATTTGCGCTGATGTAACACGCCATGCGGGATGCCGGAAAGACGCTGAATCGCTCGCAGAACCAGTAGGTTTGAACGTGATGACGCCATGGGAGTGATTGAGTACTCTGTGGATCAGTCACGGTACCCGTAGGATCTCCATGTCTTGAGCGGCGCAGCAGTGCAGTGAAAGATTCAACTGATAACTCCGGGTTAGCGGGACTCTGGTTCATGGATCGCGCTCAGACCAGAAGTTCGACCTGTCAACTTTGGTGGATATTCATTCTGCGGGGAGGGCTAGACGGTCAGCGGGGAGCACCGATGCCGCTGACTACACGGAAAATGAGCTTTTGCGGACAGCATATACCGAGCGAGCATCCCTCTTTTCGTTCTTCAAAGAATATCTCTCTTCTGGATTCTTACGCACACATGTTGATCCGCGCGGCTACCATCCTCAGCTACCTTACCCTAAGTTACCTGCTAAGCCAACTCGACAAGGCACATACGCTAAAGGAACCATGGCAGCTTCATCAGATGAATATTCGGATTCTCGGTGACTCCTGAGTCCGACTACCAGCTGGCTATACGAATTGAGTGAAACTTCGTTGTGTTACTCCGGCCTTCTACATGCATACTTCAATCTCTGGGCACTACCAGGCCTCTGTTCCTGATCTTTCAAAAGGCACCACCCGTCGACACTGGTTAACTCAATTGGAAGCCTAGTACGCGCTGCTGAAACAAAAATTATCTAGACTTTATTTGGATTTTTGTACACCTCTGACATCTACTGACGGCCATCTAATGCAGTCTTTCGGCCGAACATTCCATCCTCGCGAATATCCGAACTGCACCGTGACTTCCGTTAATATGTCTCCGACTTATTCGAGCCCTGCAAGATCTTCGATACTGTATACTTTGGGTAATACGATGGCGAACCCGAGGATTGTCATTTCTTTCGTACTTATCGTCACACGTTCAACCCGATGACGCATCTCATGCGCGTAGACGGCTAACAGTGCCTGCAGTGGACAGGGAAGAAAATATCAGATGAAGCGAGTCGCGCAAAGTTTCACAGCCGACACAACGCCTTCCCGAATGCGCGATGCACGGCTTAACCAGCAAGTTCCTAGCAGCTGCCTAGCTTGGCTATCAGCATGTACCGAGGCACAAAATCAGGACTATCTATGGCAAAGAGAGTTTCTCAAAACTAAGGCAGCTTGCAGGCTGCTTTCCCTTGCATCACCAACGCTCATCCACCTACCCGAGAGAAAACTGGATAGCAACACATACGATGCCTTCATCAGATTCATCCGGTGGACTCGGAAAGGGCAAAGTGACCCTCAGCGGTGCCCAAGAGACTCTCCTACTGACGCTCTTTGCCCGCGCCAAAGATGCTGAGTCTTCGCGTCCGATTCTGAATGATCAATATGCCCTCGATATCGTCTCTCAGATCAAGGACCAGGGTTACGACTTCAAGCGCACAACGGCCGGCGGCCCCACCACAGTCATGTTTGCGAGCTCAGTCTCGATGCGCGCTCGCATGCTCGACATTTGCACCGAAAGGTTTCTGAGGAAGAATTTAGGCCCGGCTACCGTCTTACACCTGGCATGCGGCATGGACTCGCGTAGTCTTCGCGTCAAATGGCAGGGCGAGGGTCGCTTGTGGATCGACGCCGATAGGCATGATGTAATTGAGCTTCGACGGCAGGTTATAAAGGATCCGGATACTGGCAAGGGCGAATACCGATTGATTGATCCGAACATTCACGACGATGCGTGGCTCAGCAACTGCAAGATCCCCACAGATCGACCGGTGCTGATTCTTTTCGAGGGTTTGACGCCGTACCTCACCCCTGACGAGATGTACGGCCTCTTGCGACGGATCGTGAACTA